GGTCCCGTAGTGCCGAATCCACTCCTTCTCGATGGACTTGATGGCCTCGGCGGTCGTCTCACGGTTGACGATCCTGCACTTCTGGAACCGGCTAGCTCCGTCCAGCATGTGCGCAATCCTCGCCGAGCCTGAGCGCAACTTGAACTCGAAAAAGTCTAGATAAAGTGCCTGGTTGAACGTCGTCCAGGATGTTGGTGCTGTCTTCGGTGGCTGTGATGCTCGCTTACGCTCCGCGCAACTGGCGCACTTGTGTGGTGCTTGGCGCAGGCGATGACTTCCTCTCTAGCGCCCGCTGTCGTCAGCATCCTCACGAACACCTCCGTGCTGGGGTGGCCCAGGTTCTTGTGGAGGCGCTCCACGTACCCGAACACGTTCTGGCCGAACTCGCTCTTGAGCATCTTGTTCTGGTACGTCTGCTTGGCCTCGTTGCTGTCCACCGTCGTATGGTATATATACTCCACCGCGTCCTCGCCCTCCTTCAGGCCCAACACCAGGATGTCGGTGTCCTGACTCGGGGGTTGCTCCAGCAGGTCACTCAGGATCTGCGCTAGGAGGGGCCCGTAGTTCTCGGCGAAGCTGGTGCGGTGCAAGTTGGTGCCTGGAATCTTGCCCTCGAGGTGGACGTGCTTGTGCTGCTTATCACACTGGTACTCGTTGAGTCCTTGAGCCATTCATCGTGTCGTGCGAACTCCAGTGCGTTTCCGAGCCAAGCCTTCTCCTGGAATCTCCAGTCCTGTCATACACTGGTCGAATAGTACATGATGTCCGGGTAACTCGTAAAGTGCCTTCGTCCTCCAGCTCCGTGCCGTAGCTGGTTGCTCAATGTGAGCATCTCGGTAGGCTTGCCACTGCTTGTTGTAGATCTGCTTGCAGAACATCAGGTGCGTGCGATGATGATCCTCACGACGCTGCTGCAACAACTTCTTGTCCTCGTCGGTTTTGCAGCCTCGCTCCTGCATGATCGTCCAAGCCTTACACTCGGGGCTGATCCATATGTCGTCGGGCTGCTCCTCGTCGATCAGGTTGAGGAACTTCTTCTGGATGCTGGGCTTGCTGAAGTCCCAGCCGTTGTGCACTCCGAACGACCTCGCCTGGTGTCCACGCTGTCTCAGCTCCTTTGTCAGCTCCGAGTTGCCACCATAGACCTCCCATATCTTGCGCTTGCCCTTCTTGACGTCCTTGGCCCTGCTCAGCTCCTGATTTATCTCCTTGCTGGCCGCCTGTAGGGCGTCCTGGCACTTGCGCAGCTGCTTGACGTTGAGGTCCTTGGCGATGTGGATGTCGTCGTTTGCCATGGTGACCTTGTTGTCGATCTCGACCATGTTGCCGATGAAGTCCACCGACTCCTCGTAGGCAAGCACCTCGTCTCCCAAGAATGTGTGGGGACTGATTGGATGCTGCACGCGAACATGGTCCAACATATTCTGCGGCAACAGGGTCTGGTCGGCACGATCTTTCATACACTCATCGTAGATCTCCAGCATGTCCATGATGAAATGTCCTCGCTTGGGCTACTGGCATAGCTGAAACCACTTGCCGTCACCGTCCCAGCATGCCCTCTTGTTCTTGTAGTCCACGACCATGCCCAGCTCCTCCATCACTGGTCTGGCGAACAGGAATGGCGTGCGTCCAGGGATCACGTAGGTGAGGATCTCCACGAACTTGCCGCCAGGGAAGGAGGGAACCATGACACATGCGGTCGCATCGCCGGTCGCGTCGTTGCCGTACCTGAAACTCTTGTTGCACGGGAATGTCTTCATCTTGCTGACTGGGAACCCTTTTGCAACCAGCTGCTTGCAGTATCCCTTGAGCGTCTCATGGCCCACTATCACGCTGGTCGCTCCACTGTCGTGTATCGCCTCCGATGGTTCCAGCTCGGTCGAGTTGTACACGTCCTCCGTCTCGTCTGTGACCATCCTCGCCTCGGCCGCGTCGTCTCCGACGTTCTGTCTATTGCGGCTCGCGTGCGGGCAGTCCCTGGCGAAGTGGCCTCGACCTCCACATCGTAGGCATATAGTCTCTTCTGTCGCTCTGATCAGTGGCGGGTGTGATGGCTGACCTCGTCCAGGTGAGCCTCTGCCATATCCGCTGGTGTACGTACTCTTGCCACGTCCTGTGCTGGTACCTCTCCCAGTCGCCTTTCCTCTGGATGTGCCGCGTGCCGCGCCTCGTCCTCGAGCCTGGCCGGCCCTGGGAACGATGGCCGTCGAGCTTCTCTGTGGTGGCGGCACCATCGCGACAACTGGGTAGAAACCTCTGGCCAATCGCATGTCATTCATCTTCTGTCTCGCGTCCGTGTAGGCTGCCATGATATCATCGTACTGGTCCACATCATATGTCTGGTCCGGCATGGGGTTGCCACTCATGGTGGCCGTCTCGCTGTAGTAGGCCGCCTCTGAGTCGAAGCCGTCGCCTGCATATGCCTGTTGATCCTCTGCAGCTTCCTCGTAGTATTCGTCTTCCTCGTATCCGTAGTGGTAGTAGGCATCTTCCTGGATATCGTCCTCGTCGTCGTAGTCGTCCAGGTTGTAGGCTGCTGCTCCCGAGCTCGCTCTGGTGCTTGGGAAGGAGTCCAGGCCGAACGTCTTCTTCATCTCGCTCTCTACCTTGTCCAGCAACAGGTCGTCGCCAACCTGGCTCGTGACCAGCTGCTTGCCCTCTCTGTCCAAACCTGCCCGTCGTAACAGGAACCAGCCGAGCACCTTGTCTGGCAATGTGACGTCATGTGCGCGAATCTTCCGCTCGGCCGTGCGAGACCTCGTGAGGTAATCCATCAGCGTCTCCTTGGGCTTGCGGGCTGTCTTGAAGAAGAACGTCTCGAAGTCTGTCGGCAGCTCCATGACCTGGTCGTACTTGTACGCCCGGTCGAGCACGTCTAAGATGGTCCTCCAACCTTTCTCCTCCCCGAGCTTCTCGATCTCCAAATCCTCGACCACCTCCCACGCTCGACCATTCAGGCCCTGCATGATCTCCAAACCTACTGTCCTCTCTTGTTCTCTACCACGAGCCCGTGCTGCGAAGATCTCCACCTTCCGTCGGAAGGTCTTGTACCCGTCGATCGAGCCGTCGAACTCGTGGGCTCGACCCAGGAATCCAGAGGAGAGCTGCTGTCCATCTCCAGCTGCTGCAGCGCGTCCGAGCGCGCCTCCTGCGGCTGCTCCTCGTCCCCCTTTGCCGTCTGGTGGACCCATCGTTGAAGTACTTCGCTGTGTCCGTGTCCGTGTCCGTGGAGCTACTGCTCCGCTACCAATGTCAACTGCTCGACGCTCCCGAAGTCGTCAAACTCCACTCGAAATCCGTTTCCCGTCCTCGGCTGAAACGTCCTCGACACCGCCCCCGATCACGCTCTGCGGGCGGGGAAGGGTGATGGTAACCTTTTGGTCTGCCGAGAGGCCTCTCGAGCTAAAGATGGCAATGGTGCTTGCTGTCATGACTGCTGCTCTGCACGGCGTGCTGTACACATGCTCTGCCATGCCTGCTGGGGGGGAGGGTAGAATCTAACATCTTATGTCAGAAATCCTCTGAAATACACTCGCAACTGCATTGTATGGAGTACAATTCACACCTCCTTCTCCTATTTTGAGACTCGCAACGCGCCGACAGCAACTGCTCTCCCAGCAACGGCCAGCCCGTTTTTGCCACTGCACTCGTGATCGTTGCCTCTCCCCCATGTCACACCCCGCACTTTCGCATCCAGGTTGCCTCCCTGGCATGCTATCCACCTCGGTGGCTCCACCTTCTTGCAAATTGCCAGTCGATGCCCGTCTTCCCTTCTTCCAGAGTCTTAGAAGGCGGACGCAGTCCAACACCACTCACCATCACATTATGCTTGATTCAAACCTCTCATCGGGCCTTCTGTCTCTTTCCTCCACAAGGAAATATGTAGAAGAGGCTTCAGCGCGCGCAATGGCTGCTAGTGCGCGCGCAAGAGCGTGCCGTGAAAAGGCCTCCAAGCGTGTCCTGGTCTCCCCGGGGAGGGCAATGTCGCTGCGTTGGCTTGTCGGCACACTGTTTCAGAGGATATGGGTTCCTCGCCTGTACAGATCTCCCCTCCCTCTTCCTCCAATCCTTTCGGGCACCTTTCAGCTGAAGAGCGTGCGCGCGTCCTCGCGCGCGGCGAGGCGGGCTCCAAGGAAATTACAGAACTCCTGAGGCAGGGGACCGCTCGCCGTTTCCCGCGCACATTGGGCACGCACTTCCCGCTCCAGCTTCCAGTTCCAATAGGACGCTCCCAGCTGCTTACAGCGCTGGCCCATGTGCGTTTGACGGTGGAGTTCGGTGGCGCACGCTTCAAGGCCACGGCCCGTGCGCATCTGCTGGGCAGTTTCGTCATCTGATTTCCTCCCTCCGCGTGTTCCTCCTCGACGCTCGTCTCCCTTACTTACGCAGGTTTTCACGAGGTGCCCGATCAGTCTCAGTTGTGGTTGGTCTGACTATATGCATCCTTCCCTTTCTCCACCTCCAAAATGTTTGGACGAGGTGCCCGACCAGCTTCAATCGTCAGTGGTCCCACTCCACTTTCCCCTTTCTCCTCTAAACTTCGCCTGCTGGAGGGCCACGGCCTGATGATAAGAGACGGTGTTTGAAGTGTCATGGATCGGCCACCCAAGCTACGGTCAAAGAGTCTTGGAATTCGCTGTGCCCGAGCTTGGTCAATGTCGACGGTGCCATATTTCCCCCATCTCGAGGACCCTCGCGTGTGCACGTGGCGGGGGGTTGGTTAGATGACTCCCATCTCTTGAATGTCCATGTGAATTTACGTGTCTGGTTTTGTGTGAGATGTGGTGCGGTGGCCGACAAGCAGCTGCGTTCGTCTGGCAAACCATGCACCCATCGGCTGACCCCGACTGGTCGTCAATACCTTGATCGTTTTCGATCCAATTTGGCACCCAAGGTCCTCAGCAAGGCCGAGATGGCCCAGAGAGGCCGAGTTTAGCGTGGTTGATCGGCACTGGCCTTCGCCACTGGTTCCTACTCCTACTCCTACTCCCTCCGGCGAGGACACCCCGCCCCGCCAGTCGCCCCCGCCAGCGGCGCCGCCGCCGGCCCACGCCGAGGCCGCCAGGGCCTTGGCACCCGGCGGCGGGCTGCCGCCCGAGGTGCAGAGGAGCATCGAGGATCGCCGGGGCCGCCCGGCCAGCGAGGAGCTGGGAAACTTACGCACTCGGGGCTCAAGAGACGAGGGTCAATGAAAACGGGTGTCAGCCAGAGCGCCGGATCTTGCAGCATCCTGCAGGGCTTGGGTTGCACTGGCCCTCTGGCCTGGGCTTGGGCGCAGGATCCTGCAGGCTCCTGCGGGATTTTGCCGGATCTTGCGACGTCCGCGCAAGGCCCAGATATGGTCGCGTCGCGAAAAAATCGAAATGTGTGGTTTTTCCCCATATCCAAGGATGGGGTTCTTGTTATTCTCTGACCGCGCCAGACCCCTCATCATTATCCCTCCCCTCCCTCCTCCCTCTCTGCACTAGACGATGATGAGTGTCATGCTGATGACCATGGTAAGGTGAGAGTATGATGTGAGTATGATGGTGATGGTGAATGATGGATGAGTATGATGATGATGCTGCTGCTGCTGCTGATGACGATGGGCAGATGATGAGGATGTCTCGACCGGCCTGCTGGTTTTAACATTCCTAAGGGGGGGCGCCAGGGGGTATCTCACGGCCTCCGTTCGCGCCAAAATGACGGGGATATCTCGAGCGGTTTGCCTGTTTTGGTCGCGAACATCCTCCGTTGTCGGAGCAGATTTTGAGGATGTCTCGTGCGAGGCGCCTCCTAAGGGGGGGCCGCCAGGGGTATCTCACGGCCTCCGTTCGCGCCCAGATTGCGCGGATGTTTCAGGCGGTTTGCATGTTTTGGTCGCGAACATCCTTCGTTTTCGGAACAGATTCTGAGGATGTCTCGTGCGAGGTGCTGGTTGTCGCACCCCAGGGGGCCCAGATTGCGAGGATGCCTCGAGCGGTGCCTGTTTTGGTGGCCAGACTCGTGTGCGTTCAGAGCAGATTCTGAAGATGTCTCGATCGGCGTGCTTGTTTTAGCGCTCCTAAGGGGGGGGGGCGCCAGGGGTGTTGCACGGTCTCCGTTCGCGCCCAGATTGCGGGGATGCCTCGAGCGGTTTGCGTGTTTCCCGACCCAACATCGTCTTCGTTTTCGGACCGTTTTCGGAGCGGATGTCGAGGATGTCTCGTGCGAGGCGGTGGTTTTTGCACCCGAGGGGGGGCCCAGATTGCGAGGACGTCTCGAGCGGTTTGCGTGTTTTGGTGGCCAGACTCGCCGAATGCAGGCGCTGGCATTGGTACCCCACGGGGCTTAGATTTCGAGGATATCTCGAGCGGGTTGCCTGTTTTGGCTGCCAGATTCGTGGGCTGATCCCCAGGAGGCCCGCCCAAGGAGGCTCCAGGAGGCCCCAGGAAGCCACAGGAGGCCCCAGGGATTTTCAGGAGGCAGCAGGAAGCCCCAAGAGGCTCCAGGATGCTCCAAAGTGGTCCAGGAGCCCACAGGAAGCTTCAAGAGTTTCGAGGAATCCCCAGGAAGCCCCAGAGTTTTCCAGGAAGGCCCAAGGAAGCCCCAGAATGCCACAAGAGGCTCCCCCCGAGAATCCACAGGAAGCCCTAGGAAGTTCCAGGAGGCCCTAGGAGGTCCCAGAAGGCCTCAGGAAGCCACAGAAAGCGCCAGGAGGCCCCAGGAGGCCCCAAGAGGCACCAGGCGCGGCTCCAACTCTATGTTTTTAGTTATGTTCATATGGATCAGGCCTCTTCTGGGGCACGATTCCTTTGTGTGTTACTTATGTTCCTATACATGGTCCTTCCCCAGTGGCTCCCATCCGATGTGTTTTACATGTGTTCCTATATATTGGGCGTCCTGTGGCCCCAAGAGGCCTCAGGAAGCCCCAGGAGGCTCAAGGAGGAACAGTCCCCACGAGGCCCCAGGAGGCCCCAGGAGGCCCCAAGAGGCCCCAGGAGGCTTCAGGAAGCCGCAGGAGGCCCCAGGCGTTCCAAGAGGCTCAAGGAAGCCCCAGGAAGCCCCAGGAAGTCCCAAGAGGCCCCAGGAGGCCCCAGGAGCCCCGGGAGATTTGAGGAAGCCCCAGGAAGCCCCAGAAGGCCCCAGGACGATTCAGTCACGCTCAGTCATGCTCAGGCCACTGACGTGCAGACACTCTCACCCTAAGCATGCGCAGGCTCACGCGCATAGACTCACTCGTACTGTTGGGTCTATTACACACTAAAAGTCATTCACGGTTATACTCCTCTCCCAGGCTGTCAATACCCAAGCTCGTTTCTATTCGAAGTTTCTTGCGCCTAGACATTCACTGCGGAAATGCAAACGCAAAGAGATGCACATCTGGTGAGCTCCACGCAGTGAATCATTGGCCCGTTCCGGCCTCTGGGGACCCTCGCCGGGCTCTGGGACCGTCAACACATGATTCGCGATGAAAAACCAGCCCTGGGGCGAGTGCGAGACCCCGTATTGAACAAATCAGGGCGTCGCATGTCTGGGGGAGTGACCTTCCGTCGGAGTGACCTTCAGTGCGGGCTCACAGGGGTCCTCTCAGCTTGGCTTGCACGCTCGGATTGGGTCGCGCCGTGACCCCCCAGAGCCGCGCCGCAAAGGTCATTCTTGCCTAGGGTCATTCATTATTGGGTGTAGCCGGTCGTAAGACTCGAGTTCTCCGGAATTCGGATGTTTTGGCGAGCCCGTCCTGGATTTTGACGGTCCAGTTTTCGCGGGGGTTGTTTGCCGCGGGAGGTCGCGTCAAATTGCAGATTGGGTCTCGTCACGTTCATGACTGAGTCTTACGTCTCCCCGAGAGGAGTGTCGGGGATCTGCTCAGGGCCCCTGAGACAAGGATTTGAATAATACATAGCGGCGTAAACGCAGTTTGTTGGAAGTCCGCGCGGATTTCTTGGACAGGCGTTGGATCGTCGGGGCCGCCCGGCTGGCGAGGAGCGTCGAGCATCGGCTCCCAGACATGCTCGCGTTGACCTGGGCCCCCCAGATGGGGTCACAGCAGACTGTGTCGGAGAATCGCGCCGCATCGCCGATGCATCGCCGACGTCGCCGACGCATCACCGGTGCATCGCCGATGCATCGGCGATGTGGCGCGATCCTCCGACCCTATCTACCTGGACCCCACGTGGGAGGCCTCTACAGACATGATCGCGTTGAAATCAGGATGGGATGTTTGGCTGTTTTCGGTCTCTGGGGGCCCTCGCCAGGCCCTGGGACTATCAAACAAGGATTCAGGATCACAAACTGGCCCCAGGGAAAGGGTCGGGACTTCCGGGGACTTGACAAAAATAAGGACGTCGCATGTCTGGGATTAGGGCCCCCGAGAGCAGGACTCTAATATCAAAACGCGGCATAAGCATCATTTCTCTCAGGCCTGCACAGATGTCTTGGATCGGGAGGAGGGTCCAGCGCCGATCCAAGAAGTCCCCGCGGACCTCCGAGAAAGTAGGTTTATGCAGTTTTCTGAACGTGTTCTGTTCCTCGAAGAACATACCAGCCAGGGACTTCCAGCATGCCAGCTGGAGAGACCAAATAATGGAACATGTCACGATCCACGGCTGCAGTTTTCCTTGGACGCGCCGGGTACATGTGGTTGACCAAAGTCTCCGTTCACGGGGCCCTGATCGGCGCGGCCAGAGTCAGGGGCGCGAGGCCAGGGGGTGACAGGTGTTCCAGATTTCGGGGGCCACAACCCTCCCAAACGAGCCCTTCTAACCTCCCCAGACTAGTCGCGAAAGGGTGGCCTTTTGCCCAGACCCCCCTGGAAGCCTCCAAGACAGCTCCAATCAGACCCCCCAGAAATCAGACCACCCTTTTTTTGGTGGTGGAATCTGGAGTACCCTTAAGGTAAGTTAAGCCAGTGTTATGCGAAAGTACAGGTTCTATCTCAAGATACTTTAAGAATATATATTGTTTAAAATTGCCTTAAGTAAGATTTATCATTTTACCGAGTGGCGTTAAGTTTAAACTAACGTGAGACCATGTTCTACCGCAAGGTAAGTCGGATATTCGGCGGCATACGCCATATTTCTAGTTGGTCCCATCAATGTTGTGTCTCGTATGTTCCAAGCCTCGTGAGCGTCAGCAAGTGTAAGCACGGGCGTATATATAAGTTCAGCATGCATTTATATATGTATATGTATAACTGAGTGCAACGTAACATGCATGAACTTACTGCCACATGTACGTATGCACGTATGGTGGAGTGCATTGCTGGGTCAATCGGTACGTACATACGCATACGCAAGGGACCTGTGTACACACATCGGTTTCGTTACGCAGTGATGATATGATGATGCTGATGTTGGTGATGCGTTTATTGTTGTACCGCCGCTGCAGCGACCAACCATCACAACGCAAGCGACAAGATACACAGCAAACGACAAGATACATAATCCAACGCTTCCGTTTTCTTGCAAAGAAAATGCAAGCCGTGACGATACTTGGAACACATTGTTTGGCCAACTTGGGCTGATGTATTGCCTCTTACACATGCTGCGCCAAGATACTTCATCTAATTCATGAATGCTACACCAGCGTAACACCAACCCCTCCGAGGGTTCACATGATCAATTTCGAGTGCCCAGTGGGCAAGATGGTGCGACTTGATGGTGCTATCGTAAATTAACTCGTGTGGGTTAATGAAGAACTGAGCCGCTGCTGTCTGGCACGCTAAGAATACCCACGTGCATTGCAGGAATTAGAAATATCTCTTCTGCTCTGACGGTAAGATGTTTGAAGATGCGTTTTTTGCCGAGCAGCTCATCCATCCGCAAATTCATACGCAAAGCTTAATGCAACTGCTCATGAACGTCGCCCCCCTCGCTCCGTCCACTTCCCGAAAAATTCTGTCAGCGGAGCAATGATGTTTTTGGTGTCGGCAGCCGTGCCTTTGATGTGAGGGTAATTAGCTCGGGGATTCTTCGGGTTCGTGAACATAGACAGCTTGAGCCTTGAGAAACAATCTGGCGACGAAGTGTCGCATTGCTGCCACCACCGCTGGCACTCCGAAAAGACAACTTGTAGTGCGGCTTGTGGCTCGCTTGGAATCAACACATACACTAATACCCACAGCACTGCACCAAGGAAAGACGTGTCTACGCCTAAATGTT